TGTCGAGTACACTTCAAAAACATCAAGGTCATTTAAGATAATAAGACTGGAGGAGACTGAGGAGGCCTGATAATGAAATACAACGTGAAGTGTCAGCCTTGTGAAGATAGATGAAACTGTCAAAAGTACTTTGTTGTAAAAACAAGCAATAATAAGAAACTTAGAATGTTTACACTTCTGGAATGCTTTGGAGACAGAAATCAGAGGGTTGCCTAAAAGTAAGAGTTTTGCTGGGGTTACACAGTTGTGACCATATGGATTTTTAATGGTGTATAGTGTGTCTACAAATAGGTAAATCTGTTATGGTACCAAATCCTGTGCCCTGTTTCAAAGAGAGAATTTGTAAAATTTAAGGGTGTGTTGGAAATTACTAAAAAGCAAACAAAACAAAAAAATATAAATGAGTCAAATGGACAGAATGTGCCAAGGAGAGCAGAGCAGTTGCTCAAGAAGCAGGAAATGGATTTGTCTCACTGCTGTTGCGGGTGACTTTCCAAACACTTTAGGGCAGGAACCATATCTGTGTGTCTTTTCTCTGCAGCTTTTGAACTTTATGCTGAGAGAAGTTCTTGAGTACTGTGCTATTTACTAACTTGTTATAAGAATTGAGTTTGAAATGCTGTGCACACGTGGTCTTCACATTACATGCAGGTGCCCAGCTTGACCCTCCAGCTCTTTTAGAAAAAAAAGGACCTATGACCATCCTGGCTAACACGGTGAAACCCTGTCTCTACTAAAAATACAAAAAATTAGCCGGGCATGGTGGGCGGGCGCCTGTAGTCCCAGCAACTCAGAAGGCTGAGGCAGGAGAATGGCGTGAACCCAGAAGGCGGAGCTTGCAGTGAGCTGAGATCTCGCCACTGCGCTTCTGCCTAGGCGAGCGAGACTCCATCTCAAAAAAAAAAAAAAAAAAAAGTCCCCACAAAAAGGTTTTTATAATTATTTTTCTACATTTGAATTTTGGAGACACATGATAGAAAACTGTGGACTTGAGATTGATGAAATCCGAGTTTTATTTCTGTCTCTGCCACTAGTTACTGTTGAGCCATTGCCAAATAATGTGACTTTCTCCACTTTGATTTCTGTCTTTCGTGAAATATGAGAGGGTATATTTCTGGGATGATGGAAAAATCAAATGAGATAGAAAATAGTGAGCGGGTGCAGTGGCTCACACCTGTAATCCCAGCACTTTGGGAGGCCAAGGCAGGTGGATCACTTGAAGTCAGGAGTTCGAGACCAGCCTGGCCAACATGGTGAAACCCTCTCTCTATTAAAAGTACAAAAATTAGCTGGGCATGGTAGTGCATGCCTGTAATCCCAGCTACTCGGGAGGCTAAGGTGGGAGAATTGCTTGAACCCAGTAGGCAGAGGTTGCTGTGAGCCAAATGCCACTGCACTCCAGCCTGGGCAACAGAGCAAGACTCTGTCAAAAAAGAAAAATAAATAAAAAGAAGAAGAAGAAGGAAAGATCTGTGATATCCACAGAGTACCTTACAAATGAAAAGAAAATGGTGATATGTTACTGCTTTTTCTCTAATTAGAAGAGGATTGCATAGTGAAAATGTTATATAGATGAAGCATGAAACAGCTGTTGGCACATTAAACCATCTTTTTATAGTATAGTTATTACAAAATTCTGTAAGGAAGAAGCTTGAGGATAGTTATCATATCATAGTGAGTTGAGACCTGACTCAGCCCTTTAACAATTTAGCTTTTTTGCAAGATTGAAAGCAGAGTGTGAGGTTCAGGAGCCTATTTATTTACTAAAATTGTTATCCATCCTGGAGAAACTTTGCTAAAGTATTCGTTCATTCTGGTGGAAGGATGAAATGTAGACTATTAAAGCAATTTAAGTTGTCTCTTGCTGAAACGTTGTGAGGTTTTAGGAAGAATGGCTTAAGTGAATGGGTATTGAATTTAATTTTCCTGATACTGTGATAATAAAAAATATTTTTAGTCCAGTTGTTTGCCCTTTGGCTATTAACCAACAAGGTGATTAAGTGAGACTTTATGCAGTTCAGATGATGTCCTTTGGAACCACTTCATGTGGTTTCAGCTAACTAGTTTCATTTCTTGGAGGCGGATGATGCTGGCAGTTTCCCCCTTAATTTTGCATAAAAGGTATATAGTTCCTTAATTACAGACAAATTTCAAAAAGATGAGAGGATAAATCTTTGAGGAAATCACTTTCCTCTCTTTATTCAGATGCCATGAGGGGTTTTTTAAGTTGCTTGGCAGCTTTCTAGATGAACATTCACTTGTCTGTTTTTAAAACATTCCCTCTTTTTCTGGCCTGAAAAGTATGCAAACATGAATTCACTTTGTTTTATCTGTCTCATATGTGTGTATATGTGTGTGTGTGTGTAACTACATATTTCCTAGAGAATTCTATTTTTGTCTTTTTTCTTTTTCTTTTGTTTTGTTTGAGCCAGAGTTTTGCTCTTGTTGCTCAGGCTAGAGTGCAATGTGCAGTCTTGGCTCACTGCAACCTCTGCCTCCTGGGTTCAAGTGATTCTCCTGCCTCACCCTCCCGAGTAGCTGGGATTACAGGTACCTGCCACCAGACCCAGCTAATATTTGTATTTTTAGTAGAGACTGGGGGTTTCACCATGTTGGCCAGGCTGGTCTCAAACTCCTGACCTCAGGTGATCCACCCGCCTCAGCTGCCCAAAGTGCTGGGATTACAGGTGTGAGCCATTGCGCCCAGCTGAGAATTCTATTTTAATGAAATTATTTTATATAATTTCCCAGCCCAACACTAGTCCATGATATTTTAGGGCAATAAAATTTGTTTCTTACATTGTAATTTATCCTAATGCTACACTAAAGAAATTCTTAACAGGAAATTAGGTGGTCTAAATGGGGTCTAAAGAGACAGACTTATAAAAATACTCTAAACAGCAATGGTAAACAACTATGGTGCTGAAACTTGTTTCCTTCCTAGTTCCAAACCATTTCAGAAACTGCAAGAGTGACCTTTATTTCCTTCTCTGTAGCACACACGACTATAATTTCCCATGACTATTTATGGTCTGGACAGCCCTTCTCTAACTTCCTTTTTTTTTTTAATGTCAACGGAATACGTGTTTCTTTAATGGAAAATGTTCTATTTTGGGGAAGCTGCTTTTCCTCAGATAAGTAATGGAGTTGGTGTTTGTGTGTTGAAGGGGTTATATGAGATTGAAGAGTTTTAAATTAGTGGACTGAGAGCTTGGAGTGACAGTCCTGGTGAGGACTCCTAATAGCCTTTTTTTTTTTGTATCCAAGATTAAAAATAACTGTGCTTGGTATTTTGTATTATTTTTAAGGATGATTTTCTTCTTCTTCTTTTTTTTTTTAAGAAATGGCAGAATAGTCCTGAATTGAATGGTGAAAATTTCAAACCAAAGTGATTGAAGTGAGGGAATAGTGTGGCTCATCAACAGGGTTGATCTGGGGGCCAGAGAGAGGCATGGGAGATTTGACCCTTCTAACTCTTGTAGGCAGGTCCTATGTACTGAGCACTGTCTCTTTCCCACCTGCTGCAGCTGCACAGTTGGACATTCGTCATGAATCAGGAGGGTCATCTCTGACTCCTGAGTGTGACACAGTCCGTCCCTTTGGAGTGATTTGGAACCTGATCACAGCAAGGATTTGTTGCCATTCCCCAGCTTTGCATTGTGCGTTTAACTACATTTCACAATCACCGTGAAAGATTTTTTATTTATTGTTTTTGACGATTTGTTATCTTAGTTATAAAACCATTCTTTATGCTTTATCCACTTTTCACTCTAGCATCTGGAAACTGTGGCAGCACGTATATTGTTTGTTTTAATGTGAAATTTATTTAAGTACAATATAAGTACAGAAAAGTGGCCAGATCATAAGTGTAGCACTTGATGCATCATCTCAAAGTGAACACACTTGTGTAACCAGCATCTGGACTAAGAAACAGAATATTACAATATTTGAAACGTTACACGCCCTCTCCTGGATACTGCCTCCTTTCCCTCCCTTCCTAAGAACATTACAATATTTGAAACCTTACACGCCCTCTCCTGGATGCTTCCTCCTTTCCCTCCCTGCCTAAGAACATTACAATATTCGAAATGTTACACGCCCTGTCCTGGATGCTGCCTCCTTTCCCTCCCTACCTAAGAACATTATGATATTTGAAACGTTACACGCCATCTCCTGGATACTGCCTCCTTTCCCTCCCCACCTAAGAGTTACTGCCATCCTGACTTCTGTTACTACAGAGTAATTTTGCCTGACTTTGAACTTTATGTAGTTATGGGATCATACAGTGGGTCTCCTCTTTTATCTGGCTTCTTTTGGTCATTATATGTTTGTGAGATTCATCCTGTTGATACATGCTGTTTTAGTTCTTTATTCTCATTGCTACATCATATTATGTTGTTTTAAGACAGAGCAAATTATCTCCTGCACTTGTGAAAGTCAGTAAAATGTGCATTGGACCTTATACTGAAGAGGACTCAAGTCACTATGTGATTTAGTTGTATTGTGATCTAATACCTGTTTTATTACTATAAGAACCATTTATTATTTATTTATTCACCTAATTTTTATAGAGGCAGGATCTTACTTTGTTGCCCAGGCTGGTCTCAAACTCCTGGCATCCTCCTGCTTTAGCAAGAACTTTTGATTACAAAATAGGAAATTGTTTTTCTCTTCCTTAAGTCAGAATATTAACTTTACCATATCACTTTCTCTTCCACTCCCCGCCAACTATAGAAATAATTGCCTTCCTCTTAACTTTGTGCTTCCATAAAACTTGATTGTATCTCTGTATTTAATACATATAGATAGCTATTGTGTTCATCATAGTTAATGGATCACAGATACAAATACTTGCTAACTGAACTTCTTGAAGCCAGGGCTTGTCTTTTCAATTCATGTTTCTAATCCCAGCTTCTAATATGCCTGGTATCAAAGCTTCTAGGTTTCTTGAGGAGTTTTGTGACTTTTCAATAGCATTTTGTTACATTTTGTCATTGTAGCCTGAGATTCCTGAACGCATCTGCGAACAAACTGGAAAGCCTTCCTCCAGCCACGCTTTCTGAAGAGACAAACAGTATCTTACAAGAGTTGTATTTGACAAATAACAGCCTCACAGACAAATGTGTGCCCTTGTTAACGGGACACCCACATTTGAAGATCCTTCACATGGCCTATAACCGACTTCAGAGTTTTCCAGCCAGGTAAAGGAGAATCGTAAAGCTGTGTTCTGAATTGGGTTTCTCAAAGTGTATTCATAGAAAGATGAAAGCTGAAATATTTATTTCCCAGGTGATATCAAGTTTGTTTCCTTGTTCCTGCTCCATTCACAGTTTCCTTTATATAAGCTGTGATGACATTTCCCTGAAGAGAAGTAGATTGGTTTTCCTCATACGTGTCCAAAGACCTAATCACAAGAATGTTCTTAAGATTTTGAAATAAAATGTGTTGTTTAGCAGGTATGTTTTTTCTTTTACTTCTTTTTAACCAGTCAGATTAATTTTTTAAAAAACTATTATCCTAGAGCCAGGTGTGGCAGTGCGTGCCTGTAGTCCCAGCTACTCAGGAGGCTGAGGTGGGAGGGTCACTTGAGCTCAAGAATTCGAGACTAGCCTGGGCAACATAGTGACACCCTATCTATTAAAAAATAAAGTAAATAATAAAGTTTCCAAAAACATTAACCTAATAGGGTATGTGGGAATTAGAATGTAAACCAGGAACCTGAAAATCCTTCATTATCTACCAACTTTTATATTCATACTTATGATGTACAGAGCAGTGGTAGACTCTACTACCATAGAAACTGTAACATTGCAAATTATGGCTCAAAAGAGTCCATTTTTAATTTGTTTTTACTTTAATTTCTAATTTTTGGGGAGCGGTGACATTATATCTAGCTTTGAGTGAATCTATGTGCTGAGCCTGCCATGAGGATTTACCCTGTTTCCATTTCATTGGCTTTTATCCATCTAACAAGTTAGGGCTTGAAACACACACCCACGCATCAAAGAAGCAAACACTAACCCTTCTGGTATTCTGCTTGTGGTAACTGTAACTCAGCACTGGGGCTAGACCAAAACACTATCATAGCCTCCCTCTGCTGCCTTCAGGGCTACCACTCTATTCAAGCCCTTGCTAAGAAGGAAGGCCCATGTATGTGTTGACTTAAAGTATTGCTCTGTTTTTGGCGTAATGAAATACTTACTTTCCTCCTCATTTGACATTAATGATTAAAATATTTTATGCTTACTTCCATCTACTTTTACTTCACTATGGAATGGGGAAATTATATTTTTGGAAAAAACCATGATAATCACATAACAGCAACCTATCTGAAAGGGCTCATTGTCTTCTTTCAGATGATGAATGTCTAAACCCTGCAGAGGAAAGGATCATCAGCTCTAATTCTGAGGATATACCCCCAGTGACCCATGCCAGGTGTAATCACCCACGCTGAGTGGAGAGAAACTTTTAACACACCTTGTAAAAAATCCATCTAGGAATGAATTCTGTCTCCCTGTGGTTGTGATGTGGCTCAGTAGCTCCCCTGCAAACCAGAGCACCTTAAGAGCTGGGTCTGTGACCTTGCTGTTTCCCTCAGCCTCACATTTCACACAAGGCCCACACTTAAATGGTTGCTGAATTAAAGAACATGACCACCATCTAGTCATTTTGTCTTCACATCTTTTGCCACCTTCTTTTTATGTTGTGAGTTGGAAATTTCTTTAACTTTTTCTTCTGGGGGCCTGTTTTCTGTGCTTTTAATCATTTTTCATGCACCATTACCCATTAGTTTCAAGGCACAGGGCTGGCATCTGCTTCTGGTGAGTCTTCAGGAAGCTTACAATCATGGCAGAAGGTGAAGGGGAGCCATTGTGTCACATGGTGAGAGAGAGGGCAAAAGAGATGCCAGGGTCTTGTGTGAATGCACAGCATGTGAATTCAATTATTACCATGGGAAGGGCATCAAACCATTCATGTGGTATCTGCTCCCATGACCTGAACACCCCCTACTAGGCCCCACTTCTAACATTGGGAATCAAATTTCTTTTTTTTTTTGAGACGGAGTCTCGCTCTGTCGCCCAGGCTGGAGTGCAGTGGCACAATCTTGGCTCACTGCAAGCCCTGCCTCCCGGGTTCACGCCATTCTTCTGCCTCAGCCTCCCGAGTAGCTGGGACTACAGGCGCCCGCCACCTCGCCCGGCTAGTTTTTTGTATTTTTTAGTAGAGACGGGGTTTCACCGTGTTAGCCAGGATGGTCTCGATCTCCTGACCTCGTGATCCGCCTGTCTTGGCCTCCCAAAGTGCTGGGATTACAGGCCTGAGCCACCGCGCCCGGCCTGGGAATCACATTTCAACATGAGATTTGGAGGGGACAAATAATCCAAACCATAGCACTATATTTCTTTCAAAATATGATGACAGCATATTTAAATAATATTCTTAGAAATTCGGGCTATCATAGATGAATTACTTCATAGTCTGTGTACAGATTGTTTGTAGTATATTCTGATACCATACTGGATGTATATGATATTAAAAAGTCTGACTTCATAAGATAAAAACTAAGTTTTTACTGTATCTTATCAACAAGATAATCTTTATATTTGAAATATGACAGAAAAATAATACAGTTTTTTTTTGTTAAATTGTTTAAAAGTGTACTGTGACAAATGAAACTGTAACAGGTAGAAATGATACCAAAAAATTTAAACTATTATTCACCTTATGAGTCTGAGTCACACTAATGGGGAATCCTGTGCTTCTTGGAGTGGAAAGAGGGTCAAAACAGTGCCAGATACTATTACAGTGATTGCAGAGGTGGAGGTGTTGGTTTTTCTTTCAAAGTTATAAAGAATGCAAGAAACCCTGATTCTGGAATTTTTCTTTAGTTATTGTAATTATTGATGAAGATTATAGATGAGGAAGATTGAACAATAAAAGACATTCTTAAACAGAAATATTAAATTAATTACATTAGAACATATTATTAGATAAGGTTGGAGAGATTCCTTCTTGGTAGATGTTTAGCAACAATTGAGAGAAATGTCTTTTGGCCCTGGTGTGAATTTGCGCTCTGCCAGAAGTCAAAGAGGTGATCCATATGGGCTTTTAACACCCCTTGCTCCTTACCACCACTTTGTATTCATCAGTGATGTCAGAGGAATTGGGGGAGTGGAGGTTGAAGAAAAAGCTTATCTTAATATGAACTATAGATCTGTTCTCTACCTCCCCCTTGAGTTTTCAGTGCCACTACAAAGAAATCATACTCTCTGAGCTCTTTTAAGGCAGTTATATTGGATTAATGCTGGCTTTTGACCCATTTCAATAGTATTTTCATTAGTGTTCAGACCAAGCTATACAGTAACGTGATTATTGCCAGGGTAACTTAATTTCCACACAGACTTTTAGGAGGAAAAAGGCACCCATTTTCCTTCTTGTTGACAATTTGAAGAGTTGAATAGTTTTTGTTCTGTAGTGGGAAAGGAGGTGTTAAAATATTTCAGTACTCCAAAATGATAGTGAAAAAATGGTCTTGTTTGTAAAAATGACTGTTACAAATGAATCCTTAAAGTCATAGCAATTTAATTCATCCTTTGATTCTCATCATATATTATTTTCTTTTAAATTGCTTTATTTTCTCTTTTTTTAGTAAAATGGCGAAACTGGAGGAACTTGAAGAAATTGATCTCAGTGGGAATAAGCTGAAAGCCATCCCAACAACGATCATGAATTGCAGGCGCGTGCACACTGTGATTGCTCACTCCAACTGCATCGAGGTCTTTCCCGAAGTTATGCAGCTCCCAGAGATCAAGGTATGTGGTTTCATTTCATAAACTCTGGCTTTCAGGTCAGCAAAGAGAGTTGACTTGCTAATTCATCAACTCAGGACGTTTGCATCTTTGTTGGATTTATTCAGAATGGAGGCCCCCATTAGCCCTTACTTCCTCCTTCCTAACCAATGGGCTACACTGTTGAGTCAGCAGAGTTAAAAAAAAAAAAAAAAAAAAAAAAAAAAAAAGAAAGCAAAACACTGGAGCACGTTTTGGGAAAATTGGATTTCTAGGCTCAGTCCCTAACTTACAGTATGACATGAGGCTACCCACATAGCCACCCTGTACTTCTTTATCTGTTAATAGTTGTTCCACTCATTTCCAGGGTGGTTATGAGGCTCAAAGGATGAGGCTGGTGTAATCGCAGTTTGAAAAAGTTAACAGTACCACTACACATCCCTCCCCACCAACTCATCTAGTTAAATAGCACACCCCACTATCGTAGCCCACTAGTGGTAATTCCCTATATAGACAAAGCGTCATTGCTGTCACCAAACATTGATTTCAACTGAATGAAATTGGCAGATCAGATATTATTGTCATTTGATAGGTAAGGACACTGAGGTGCTGAAAAGTGAAGAGATCTGTGTAAATTAAGACAGCAGGTTGGTAGCAGAGGTAGTCTGCAAGTCCTGACTGCTGACTTGAGGTAGACTCATGGGATGAAACCAGTTCACTAGAATGAAAGCCATGTAACAACCATGTGTTCCTGTTTTGTTTCTTTTTTGGCAGGGAAATGGTACAGAAGTAAAAAGTTCTTTATATACAATGTAGTTTTTCATTTGTATCTTAGCATTTCTAGTTATCGATTTTATGCTTAATGAAAAATAATTTGGTGGTTACAGACTTGGAGCATATTCTAATCTCCTAACAGGGAACAAGAGTAGTCCAACTTAGCCATTCTTCACTTTCCAGGCACTTCCTGATATAAACCTTGTGTTTCAGATTAAGAAAGCGAATAGACATTTGAAGACATTTTAAATGGCTTGCATAACTTTTTTTTTTTTCTTTTTCTTGAGATGGAGTTTCACCCTTGTTGCCTAGGCTGGAGTGCAATGGTGCAATACTGGCTCACTGCAACCTCTGTCTTCCGGGTTCAAGCGATTCTCTCGCCACAGCCTCCCGAGTAGCTGGGGTTACAGGCGCCCGCCACCATGCCCAGCTAATTTTTGTAATTTTTTGTAGAAACAGAGTTTCACCATGTTGGCCAGGCTGGTCTTGAACTCCTGACCTCAGATGATCCACCCGCCTCGGCCTCCCAAAGTGCTGGGATCACAAGCGTGAGACACCACTCCTGGCTGGCTTGCATAACTTTTTATCCCAACAGTTTTTACACATTTATATGGTTGAGATGTGTACAAGCCATTGTGTGTGTGTGTGTGTGTGTGTGTGTGCGCGCGCATGTATGTGCATGTGTGCTTTAAGTCACGAAATGTTTTACCTTGGGCTTTAAGAACACTATCTCATACATCACAGTGGCATTTTAAGATGTTTGTTATAAATTTCCAGAATTTGGCCTGGCACGGTGGCTCACACCAGTAATCCAGCACTTTGGGAGGCCAAGGCGGGCGGATCACGAGGTCAGGAGAGCGAGACCATCCTGGCTAACACAGTGAAAACCTGTCTCTACTAAAAATATAAAAAATTACCCGCATTTGGTGACTCGCACCTGTAGTCCCAGCTACTCAGGAGACTGAGGCAGGAGAATGGCATGAACCCCGGAGGAAGAGCTTGCAGTGAGCTGAGATCGCGCCACTGCGCTCCAGCCTGGGCGACAGAGCGAGACTCCGTCTCAAAAAACAAACAACAACAAAAAAATGTCCAGAATTTTTACTTTCTGTGTAGCAACTTTCACATTGAGGAAGAGCAGTGCTCTGAAGGGAGACAGACCTCCAGTTGGATCCCAGCTGAAAATTCACTGCTCTGTTTCCTCGTATGTTAAATAAAGAAAAGAATTGGCCGGGCGCAGTGGCTCAAGCCTGTAATCCCAGCACTTTGGGAGGCCGAGACGGGTGGATCACTAGGTCAGGAGATCGAGACCATCCTGGCTAACACGGTGAAACCCCGTCTCTACTAAAAATACAAAAACTAGCCGGGCGAGGTGGCGGGCGCTTGTAGTCCCAGCTACTCGGGAGGCTGAGGCAGGAGAATGGCATGAACCCGGGAAGCGGAGCTTGCAGTGAGCTGAGATCCGGCCACTGCACTCCAGCCTGGGTGACAGAGTGAGACTCCGTCTCAAAATAAATAAATAAATTAAATTTAATTTAATTAAAAAAAAAAAAGAATTGGTACTTTCTTTATAGTATTGTTGTGAAGATGAAATGAAGTAATACATGTAAAGCATTTGAAATAGGAGTGTCACATAGGAAGAACTCCCTAAATGTTAGCCATTATTAATCAACACATGCCCTCACTGTGGTTCATCTGTAATGTTGATTATATAGAGCAACTATTTTGGCTGAAGCTCAACAAAATCCAAGAAATTTATTACTTAGGCAAATTGTTTATTTACCTTCAGCACAGGAAAGATGTTGTCAGCTAGACCTTCCAGGGGTTCCTCAGCTGCCCATTACTTGACGTAGTGGCTGTGCGGTGTCATCTTTTACCGGGGGTGGTTAAACTGGTCTCTTATGTGTGGTGCAGGTGAAATTCCAGCACAAGAGAAAGTGAGAGTCTCAAGATTAAACCTCCTATTTGCTCGTCTTAGTGTCTGTACCCGTCTTTTAATGTTGTAAATTCTTAAATGTAGATTTAGATTCTTGTTCTGGGGTTTTTTGTTTGTTTAAATATCTGGTTTAAAATACAAATAGAGGCCGGGCTTGGTGGCTTATGCCTGTAATCCCAGCACTTTGGGAGGCCAAGGCAGGTGGATCACGAGGTCAGGAGTTCGAGACCAGCCTGGCCAACATGGTGAAACCTGTCTCTACTAAAAATACAAAAATAAGCCGGGCACCTGTAATCCCAGCTACCCAGGAAGCTGAGGCAGGAGAATCGCTTGAACCCGGGAGGCAGAGGTTGCAATGAGCCAAGATTGCAACACTGCACTCCAGCCTGGGCAACAAGAGCAAAACTCCGTCTCAAATAAATAAATAAATAAAATACAAATAGAAATTTAGACCAAGCATGGCAGCTCGCGCCAATAATCCCAGCACTTTGGGAGACCGAGGCAGGTGGATCACCTGAGGTCAGGCTTTCAATAACAGCCTGGCCAACATGGTAAAACACCGTCTCTACTAACAATACAAAAATTAGCCGGGTGTGGTGGCACGTTCCTGTAGTCCCAGCTACTCAGGAGTCTGAGGCAGGAGAATCACTTGAACCTGAGCAGGGGAGGCTACAGTGAGCCGAGATCATACCAGTGCACTCCAGCCTGGATGACAGAGTGAGACTTCATCTCAAAAAAAAAAAAAAAAAAGAAATTAAATGTTTTTAGATTTTAACTAGATTTTGCAAAATACAAATTTTGCTGTATGAAAACTAATCCTCTTCTAGACTCTTGCTTGGATTCCTGGATTACAGAATCAGTACCTTTGTTGCTGTTGAATTCCTTCCCCTGTTGTCTTCTCTCTGTACCCTGCTTTACAACTCCTTTTCAGTTTTACTTCCCATATTTTTAAATGGTTTCCATTTTTTTGCTCTTTGATTGATTTTCCCCCCAGCTATTACACCTTAGCATTTTTCTTATGTTAACAATATCCATTCTTTCAGATTGAGCTCTTCCATTACCAGTAGATATAAGTTTTGTTGGGGTTTTTTGGGGGACTGAAGAACATCAAGTATCCTTTATGTATAAACATATGCATGTTTCAGCCCTGGACAGATAATATTCTTGAAAAAGATAGTAGTTATATTATTTCAGAACTCCGAATTGATATTTTTATGTTTATATGAGAATATTTTAAGTTGCAATGTAAATATTTATGTATATTTGAATATTTAAAAGAAAATTTCTTGTAAAAATTGTGTTGTATCTTAAATGATAAATATACCTATAAAAGTCTTCATTGCAAACTGTGCCTTAAAGCATATTTTTAATGTAAATGGAGTAATTTCATTTCTACGATGAGATTTTCCAACCTGTATTAAATTTTTATTATTGAGTTAATAACCCTACATTACATTCACACAGTTTCTTGAAAATAAAGTGCAATAGATGTTACTTGTAAAGCATCTCATAAAGGTATTAAGATCCTTGCAATTTTAAAAACTTAGCAGATAGCATTTCAGAAGAGATAAGATCATGGTGTTATTAACTAGCTAGTTTCACCAAGCATTGTTATCTTTTCAGACATTAAAAGAAAGTGATTATTCATAGGTTTGTGACCAAAGTTTTAAAAACAATTGCTGTTTAAAAGAGCAAACAAATCTCCATACTGAGATGTATGCTAAAATGTGTTTTTAAAACATCTGAATAATTAGGCCCTTACTCATGTAGACCTTAAACAGACTATTTGCACCATCTAATCTTGGATAAAATTGAATACTGGCATTTTTTTCATTTTGATATATCTAATGAGATCTGTAAAGTGATCATCAGGTGTTTTGTATTTGGATAGGGAGGTTATGTAAGTTATTAGTAGGAAAAATAAAACGTGTTTTTCAGAATTTTCCAGTGAGCCCGAGTGTCCTCACCTTTGTTTAGCCCTTTCGCATTGATCTTCCAGACTCCTACCACCAGTCCAGTTTTGCTTGGAGTAGATTGTGTTCTCTTTTGGTTCTAAAACAGACAGACCTCCCTCTGGATACAGATTAGCTCTCGATCATCTAGTAAGGGAAACAAGAGCTGAGTCACACGGCCTAATAGACGTAAAAATATCAGCTTGGCATAATGCTTATCCAGATGCCAGACTTGGTTTGGCTGGACCTGGACCTAAGTCCATGCTAAGGCTACTCATGGCTGAGGAACCTCAGAAGCAGAGGTGGCCATGGATATGGCCCTTGTTTCTCCTTCCACTGAACTGCATAGCAGTCACATTAGTAAT